TGTAGTTTCGACCGTTGTTTCTATGCCGCGGAACTGACCCAGATTGCGTCATCTGACTTTGAACCCAATTTGGAATATGTTCAACCACCCGGTTGCGTAACCGTCGCTCTGTTTTGCCCACGTAGGTCGCTCCGTACGTTGTGCCTCCAATTCAAAGATGATGACGTAAGCAGTTTGTTAAAAAAAAAACGACTGAAATCGGCAATTGCTCGAACCTACTACGCAGCCGACCCCCAAATAGTCTATCGGACAGCTAGAATACTCACACCCCCGGTAAAAGAACGTCTTCCTCTGTACGCCAACTCAAATCTGATTTACCAATTCCAATGTGGGTGCAACACCAGATCGACCGAAGCATGACTTTTCGGATTATCTACAAGTCACGAATCGCAAGATTGCTACGGTTTGCAGAAGCGATTGCTATCAGTCGATGGAAGCCCCCCTTGTGTCAACAAAAAGAACTTTGTTAGTTTATCCTTACCCTGGTGACAGTCTTTTTAACCCCTCCCCTTTTATGTTTGTCTGTTTCATCGATCTTCTCTCTTCGTTCCTCGTATTTTAAATGGTTTCACAGATATAGTTTCATGTAGTCCACGGTTATCCTCCTAGACAATTGTCCATGATGTGCGTTACCAAACAGTCTGCTGTTTCACTCTTCCTCCAACGTACCTCATTCAAACTGGCTATTTTCTACAAGTGAGTAACAATAGTATATTTGAGGTTGCTCGGCATGGAATGTGCCTCCAAGTTCAAGGTGCTACTGCGAGAATAGTGGGAACGTATAGCTGCACTCTTGCTGAGGGGTATCACCCGGTAAGTGACTTAAAGCTTTATATACCTTCGAAGTTCTATAAGGCCTGACGAAGGTGCGGGTAGGGAGATCACCCAGACCGGCGTTTGCCAATCTGCGACATCTCTACCGCTGGTGCCACATCCCTCCTCCATGGATAGGGTGTGTACTTGTGTTGCTCCACGGTTGCGAAATTTGGTTTTTCTGACAAACCAAGACCAACAACTGTGATCTCGACAACCGTTGGTTACGCGGCATCGCCCGAGTAAGGCGGGAGTATCGCGTGAGTAATAATGAGATCAGACGACGGGGAGATAGTCTTTTGTTAAACAAGATTATCTCACTGCACCGTCTGACGTGATTTAGACATCTTACGAATGCCTGGAGAACTTCTACCCGATCATGTCTTATTTGTGGACACTGAAATAGAGTGGAAGACAAGGCGAGATGGGTAAGCTAATGCGTGATGTAGAGTTGGGGAAGCTGTATTCAGACCTGGAGCATCTCGACTTTCAGGCTGGAGCCCCCAAGAGTCCGATTGTCGTTGGATAGAGACGATAAAGGGTATATTATTGAATAAAAGTCTGTGGCTTGGTACATTTTTGCAAACCCAAAATGAGAAAAAATTCAGAATTATTGCAACAAACTAACAAAAATGGTGTGTTACTCCACATACCCGCAAAAGCTCATTAAAACCTATTTCAGTTTCAGTTTGAACAACCATTAACCACGCATATTCGAGCGCCGGTTTTGGTTGCTTTCTTTTGGCTGCCCATTCGGATGAATAATAGGAGAAGAAAGGAAAGTTGAAGGTGGAATCGAAAAGAAAATGGAGAAGTTCAGTGGTTTAAGGTTGCAAAGCAATTGAGATGCACGAACGCCACTGTTTAAAACCTATAGTTCCCTCCGATACAGCAACTGTGAGGAATGTCAAATCCAGTTATCATACAAAAGCATGTTTGAGTGAAGCTTGAATTAGTGCAATCCGGTAGCCTAAAACGATCTGATATATAGCTGCCAACTTGTGTGGGGACGAATCACGTAAGATAAACCGCCAACAGTGTCCAAGCAAACACCTCATAGTTCCATCCTAGAAGAAGATTTGAGTTCGTAGGAGGTGGAGCGCATGACGGATTTCAGGGAAGTTTGAAGGAAACTTGCAAAACCTATTATCAGGAAAAGTCAAGAATTATAGACGAGCCAATGCGAAAAACAAAAGCTTTGGGTTCTTAGTACGAGTAGTTGTTCCAGAAACACCCTCACCATTCTAGTGAGATAAGACACTAGGCAGACGATTTTGTAAACAGTCACTGAGTTAGTTAAACTTGATCATCAAGAATATGATAAACTTCTATTTATCATTGCATATCATTGAGCGATGAACATCAGAGGAGGTAAATCCAATGGGCACGAGGACCGACTATTCATTTATGGGAACCGTCAACCTGGGATAGTGAACCACATAAGACCCCATTAGTATAGCTTAGCACTGAGCCGGGCGACAGTGAGGCTGCGGTGAGATATGCGCACTAGTCCACTGAGGCACCAATCACGTGTAGACGGAATCGGGTTTACAGAGTATAGTGTATATAAACTAGTGTGGACGCAAATAAGGAACGGTGTGAAATAGAATCGTGCCATCGATAATCCCTTACAATATGATTAGTGCTGCTTTTAGGGTAGAAAAACTGTGATAACAGTTCAAATCATGCCGCAGCTAACTCGCATCGGATGGCACGTGACCGATCGGATTTGTTGATCCTGTAAATAGTTTTGACACAAGTACAGTCAGCCCGTTCCAGATCGGTCACTTGTGTTCTTCCTAAACGAGGGGCGTGCAGATATAACAAAAATTGTGTTAATTGGAACTGAATTCCAATGTACACATAGTGACAACCGATAGTGCTTGTTTTTTATCCTTCAGCACGGGATGCAAATAGATCATCGGAGCCAGTTTGAACTATCTGTTAGAAAATAAATCGGAAAGATAGATTTAAAAACGTGTCAGAATTCATTCTTCATCTTACGAGAGCGTTCGCGGATACAGCAAACAATCACTGGTGTTTTTGTCCGCCCCACGTGAAGGTGCATAGCGGTTTAGATTCAATCGAAAAACGAGGGAGCGTTCAGCTACGAAAATTAGGTCATTAAACACCAGAAAGACCACCAGGACAGAGAACTGAACCGCGAGGCTAAGTCTGTGCGGTAATGGGAGTAAAAGTTTACTCCTGTATTTCGGAGGCAGGACCCAAATTTCAAAGAAAGTGGTTGTGTTGTCCAAAGGTGCACGGATGCTGAACTTGTTTAGGCGAAAGGAGCATTTTAGTTTCTTCAAAAATTTAGCCCTTAAACCGGTACTCCATGGTGCAACCCATGAATAGCAGCAGTATTCCGTCCAACCTTTGCGTTTTTATGAAGATTATTGTACTGGGGTTCGTTTGTGGCACAGTTTGGACTCAGACAAGCGTGAACTGCAATATAACATACAGTCTCGAACAATCAATTCCATAGTGTTCGTATGATAACTAATGTGTAAACAGTTGTTTTTCACTGATATCTCGCGCACCGTAAAAGATGATCAAATTCGCTTGAGGCCATGCAAACAATAACAGATTCAAAAGTGAAGTGGGCGTCAGTGACGGTCTACAACACGGTAGGGAGCAACAGGCTATCCCACTTCACAGATTGTTCACTAATCAAATCAATTTACTATCAGTACTCTCAAAAAGGCAACTGAGCTCTTTTCTTGCGCATTGTACACTTTAGCTGTTATTCATCAACTCATTGGCCTAGTGAGTGATCGGTCAAGAGAGAAAAATGGACGAACAGAACAAACGTAGCGCGAATACTCGTAACAGGGCCAGAGAGAGAGAGCGAGCGAATGATCCTTCAGAGAGATACATGGATCCTAACCGCATGACAACAATCGCATTCCCCGAGTGGGAACCGATGACAATCGATCAATCGATTTTTGGTTGTGTGAACAGGCAGTTCTTTGAGCTAAGGCTTCGGTCGCTACAATTCACGACGCGATTGGTATCGCACCGCAACAACAATAGGTCAGGAATTGCAAAACCAAATGCAGGATTGTGCATTCCCAAATTAAGTGAACCGAGCGAGAGACTCACAAACACGGACAAGTAGTGTTTGTGTGTGGTAGACCAATAGACAAACATAAGGGGGTTGAATGTGGCGCAGCTGTGTGTCCGTGCGTTTTACGATCAGCGAAAGAAGAAAAATACGAATGGCAAAAAAGATCGAAATAACGGTTGCAGAAGGAAGCGTTGAGTGATGGCACACAATGAGGGGTGGGGGGAAGAAGCTGTGAAATAAGTTGTTCCAGGGGGCATGAGGATAATTCAGTGGCTGCTGGCCTCATTCACATTTATGCTCAACCTAGGACAACATAACATGGTCACAATGAGATGGGAACGAGTGCAAATCTATATAAATGCAACCATAACGGGCGACGAATCCGGTAAGGTCACTAACCTTTCTATTACAGCCATCATCAATGCTACAGTGTGAGGATTCGGTGTGTGACACTGCCTACCACGTCTCCTTCAGACACATGTTACGGTGATAACTGAGACCGGGAAAAATTTGCCACGGTGAAAGTGGAAGACGAAGAAGGTTGCAAGGGAAAGGTTCTGCGGAAGGAGAAACAGACTAGGAGAATCAAACTGCAATTTGAGGGGAGTGAACTGCACAGGTCGTCGCTATCTAGCGGTCTAATCCATGGGCCTCAGGCGGCCATTCGTATGTGTCGGGGACTGAATCGAGGTAGTCCGGATTATACATGTTGTGCACCAAATGCCATGTCAAATCCTTCGGTTTTGGAAGCAATTTGCACAGATTTTCCTCGTAAGCCCGCTCCGCAACACGTTCAGCAATTTTCAGTGACACATGACGAATTGTCTTCAGTGGAGGGAACACACGACCGGATTCAAAATCAGTTTCGGACACTTGTTCCGCCAGGCACTTGGGATGAGAACCATGAATAGAAGATTCAGAGGAAAGAGAGAAAATAAGTGATTATGTTTGTGAAGGCATCTTATTTTTACATGGAAACCACATTTCGGTGTTACAGTCATGATTAACTCGCAACTGTCAGCAGAAGTGCTGTTTCGCGATATGGAAGACAAACGATAAACGAATTTAACTACTCATTAGTAGCTTAACCAGTAGTCAATTTAAACCCATAAGGTTTGGTTGCATGACTGCAGCACACCCACATACCAACGGTTTTCCGCGTTCGCCGAAAGAATAAGTGACAAAAATTGCTAATTTATTCTTTTTCCGCCTCAAGTAGGTTGAAAGGAGAAGTCATTCAAAACACGTAACAACCCTTGATTCGTTTAGTTGTCCAAAAATGCTTTTGACGTGCATATATCTTCACACAGGATAATACTGCCCTCCCCCAAGCCAAAAAAGTATTACGGGTTCACGTATGGAGGAAGTTTTGTTACTACCTCTACAATAGATACGACAGATTAAACAATTTCACTTTCAATTCCTGGTGAATTTACAGACCCTAGGGTTTGTGTATGGCTCTCACTTCCTGGAAGTTCATCTATTCTCCACATTTTCGCTTATACTTGTCAAAAAATTCTGTGTGATGACCAACAAAGAGCACTGGATAGCTGATTCGTACTAGTTGGAGCTCATCGGCGATGTTTACTATTTATATACCCCCGCACGGAATCGGGTGAAGGATAGAATTAATTGTAAAACTACAGCCAGGAGGATGCGAGAGCGAGAAAGGGACACGCTGGCGGTCAGCCTGTTTGTAACAAACTCACGTCAAAAACCTGTACACAAACCGGAATGCATCGAATGAAATTTGCACTTGTATCACATATACCTTTTATGGGGGAAGCATTTCGAATAATTCACATGGATTAGTCACGTATGCACAACTGAAAATGGAAGCCTATCAACGATGGATACTTTGAAAAAAAACCAATATATCGGTTTAAGTTTGCATTAGCAAACTCCAAAAAAACATGCCTTGCGCATCTGTGTCATCTCAAGTCCATTTCACTCGCATTCCCCGGAACTAACTAGTTCTACCGATAAACTGTGATCGCCTGCTCTATTTTACCGTACTGGATGGAAGACGAACAGCTTTTGCATAGGACAGAGTCCAACAACTTTCATCATGATGCCAAAAAACTTTCCTGCGCCTAAAAATGCAACCTTTTCACTAATTCATGGTAGGGATCTTCCGATCCAATGATCACCAACATTGTGCCAACTACGCTTGCTTTTTGCTTCACGAGGAGATCAGTTTACCGAAGGTTTCCGGACGACCAGATGAACGAAATCAGCTTGACCATAGTAAAAAAAGTGCCATTAATCAAGCGATAATGCACAACGCGGTAAACACACAATGATTCTGCACTTACCTGTGCGGCATACACAAACAACTCATTCCGCACAGGTCGAATGCGACACGCGGTGATTGCCAAACCGACACCGGGGAAAATATAAGAGTTATTACATTGGCCCGGTTGAAATGTTTTTTTCACCCCACCGACATCCATGGTGACCGCACCGAATGGTGATCCACTCGCGAAAACGCATCGCCCCTGAGGGAGAAAGAACGGATGAGATATGGGAGAATCAGAAACAAGAGGGAAGGAATGAGGGGGTGTGGGGGGGGGCAGGGTCCCCAAGTCAAAAGAGGGGAACATAATTTAGGTATGCCAAAGAGTGAGATTAACAGGGACAAGGAATAAAAAAAATCGTTCTCCTGCTTAGTGACTGGACACCCTGGCAGTACCCGTCCATAAAGCTCCAATGAACACAAACAAAAAAAATAATTCCATAGTGCATCCGTAGTCGCTCAGGATAATCGGGACCGCGTTGTCCATTGCATCGAGCGGGGTGGGCAGTGATAAGTGGGCTACTGCTCAGATATCCCAACCTTTGTTTAACTCTGTCTTTCGTACCCAACCCTCTTTCTTTATCCCTTCTTCCTACCTGTAACACTCCTTCAGACAACTTAGTCGTCATTCGCCAAATAGATCTGTAACTAGTTCTCCTGTAAATAAAGTGCAGGTTCGGAAGCCTCGTCAACCTCTCAATCTGGGGGCCTTCAACGTGAGGACTCTCATACAGGTGGGTCAACAAGCGTGTCTTGCGCGTACAACGAAGTCTAGAAATTAATGTCTGTTGCGTATCGGAGACACGAATTCAGGATCATTAGACATTTGAGGTATTTCCTTCGCACACCAGGGGACGACGAAGCCCGATCACTGGGTCAGCGTGGTGTAGGGATCGTGCTCAATGAAAAAAGCTGGAGCCTCTATGATAGATTGGATACCCTTCAATAGTCGTTTGTGCGGAATGAGGCTTCAGGGTTCAGTTAGTGTTCGGAAGGGCAGCAACACCAAAAGGTTCTTGTTCATTATTTCCGCATATGGGCCAACCAACTGCAGTCCCACTTCAGAAAAAGACGAATTTTACGACAAACTCGTCGAACTCATTCGGTTGAGCCGTACTTCTGATATTATTGCTGGCAGGTGATTTTAACGCACAGGTTGGAAAACTGAGCGCATCCAAAGGTTGTCTGGGAGGACACTTCGCTCTCCTCGCTCAGCGAACAGAAAACGGTGATCGACTACTTCAGTTATGCGCGGATCATCGGTTGTTCTTATGAAGCACCAACTTTCGACACACCTCTCGTCGAACGGCTACACGGTGTTCTAGTTCAACGGAACGTTGAACCAGATTGACCACATAGCTATAAGCTATCGTTGGCGTGGTTCAGTACAAAATTGCAGGTCCTATTGGACCACCTACGTTGAGTCGGACCATGCACTAGTTCTGATGCGCTTCACTTCGACTCATCGGTCATAGGCAGAAATCGCCTCCTCAGTTAGCTCATCATCGTCTGCGCGATTCATCTGTCTGCGCACGTTACGAGGAGAATATGAGACAAGAGCTAGGAGAGCCGCAACATAGTGGAGTAGACCAACAGTGGAATCAAATTAGTTTGCGATGCACTCAGCAGCCAATTTTACTTGTGGGACCGACCCCGAAGTACTAAGAAGACATTGGATCTCTCAGGAGTCAGCAATCCTGATGAATCAGAGGTGAAAGATCCCAAACTGCTAGGACCGGTGGCGTCTGCAACGCCAACTCAGGAAAAGCCTTAAGAAAGACCGCAACAACTGGTGCGCCAAAATAGCTAGTGAAATTGAGGTAGCTTCTGCATCAGGGAAAAGTCAGACTGTTTCACCTGATACGCAGCACCGGAGGTCGTCGCATACCGGTCAGTGAGACCATTTGCGATAAACATGGACAGATTATCCACAAAAAAGAACGATTTGATAAATGAGCAAAGTATTATAGTGGACAGTTCAATTGGCTCAGTCCTAATGTGGTCATTCCAGCAATTGCGGTGGAAACCCCATGGTTGGTAACACGTGAGCCTCCAACAGATTTAGAAGTACGAAGCTGTATTCAATCACTAATGAAAGCAAAGGCAGCCAGACCGGATGAGCTTTTCCCTAATCATTTTAAGGTGGGCGGTAATTCCCTTTTCAACTCGATTACTAGCTTACTTCGCAACATTTGGTAAGAGGAACGTACCCCTTCTTCCTGGGGTGAATTGTTGATCGTCTCGATCTTCAAGAACGGATCACGCAACGACTGCGCAAATCACCNNNNCCCTTAAGGGAGACGGATATCCGCAAACAGCAAGCCGGATTCCGACCAGGTCGCGGTTGCATCGGCCGAATCTCCACTCTGCATCAAGTCCTCGAATCGCGTCACACACATCACCGGGCGACAACCGCAGTGTTCCTTGACCTGAAAGGAGCCTTTGACTCAGTTGACCGTGAAGTTCTCATTGGGTAGCTGTTTCACAAAGGAATACCGTGGAACTTTGTAAACCTATTGCGGTCGCTGCACCTACATACTTCTGGTGGCGTAAGGATCTACGGTGCGCTAAGCAAATCGTTCGAAACCAGGAGCGGTGTCCGTCAAGGATGCCTTTTTCGATTTCATCGTAGACGAACTACCGGAGAACACATTAAGTGGTCTCCAGAATATTGGTATTGAACGGGCAGCTGGAGAAAAGCTGTGCCATTTAGAGTACGCTGATGACATCATATGCCTGTTAGAATGTAAGGAGGATGGGCAAAGCGCTCTTGACAGACTAGCAAGTTCTGTACCTCCTTTTGGTATGCACTGTGCCCCTTCAAAGTGTAAAGTGACGCTACAAGACTGGGTGTCGTCTATCCCAGCGCTGATGTTTGGTGGTCAAGAATTGGCTTAGGTGGAATGTTTCACCTACTTAGGTAGCTACGTTACAAATGACGGTAGCATGGTCAATGAAGTAACCACCCGAATTTCCAAGGCTCGAGCAGCTTACACAGGACTGAAACACGTTTGGTGCAGACGCGGTTTCTTTGAAACTGAAAGGTCGTGTATACTGCGCCAGTGTGCGATCAGTTCTGCTCTATGGTTGCGAGACCCTAATTTTGCGCATGGAAGATATTCGTCGTCTAGATGTCTTCGACTGCCGATGTTTACGTACTTTGGCGCGGGTTGGATGGAGTGAGCGTGCAAGCAACTCGCGTATTTGGTAATGCTTCGATAGATAATTCGTTGTCTCATCGAATTCAGATTAGTCGGCTTCGTGGGTTAGGACATTTTTGCGCATTGCCAGCCATCGTCTACGGCAAAGCGACTTATTCGCAGTTGAGGCTCCGGGTTGGAAGAAACCGCGTGGAGGTCAACTGATGACGTGGAAACGAGGCATGAAGAAATGCACGGAGCGATTAAATAGAATCGGTGTCTCCCGTCCCCCAGTTTGGAGTCCAAAAGACTCTGCAACTGTTTAGTTGGAGACACTGAAGGATATGGTGACTAACTGACAGCAGAAGCGTTCTTGTTGTCATTTCTTATCAGGGCAGAATGCTTGAAAAAGTATGCATGTAAACTTAGATTGTGTACTCTGTTTGTTGACCATAGAGGTTCACTTTCTTTGCCTCCCTCCAATTAGGTCCCATCCCTCTCCATTTTTTGCTTTATCTTTTGATTTGTGTACATTGTGAGCTTGGCGAGATCAGTGAAGTTCGCTTCACTGTATCTCACTGTACGATGATGATGAAGCTGACTTGATTGCGTGTTCAGCTCAGTTTTTACAAGCAATAACCATGTTCTTTCGTGCGCCGGTTTTGGTGCCTCATTTGGATAAAAGAGCACAATGAAGGTGATTTCATGTACCCTGATTCTAGTGCCTGTTTAATGCAGGCTGCAGACTATTCAAGTGAAGACACAAAACTTGGTACCGACAAAGATCAAGTGCAACAATTTACTGGAAAACCGACCAGCGAAATCGTGTTAAAAGGTTCTTTTATCTACTCAAGGCGTAGGAACAGCTGAGAACGATGGTATCATCGGGACAATACTGTAGTTGAAATCACCAATAACTTTCAAATGACAGATCCCAAGCAACATCCAAAGGGGGCTAGACAACTACATCCAACATCACTGTTCTGTGGGCTTGACACCTCAACCAAGAGCTCAGAATCAAATACACTTGGTAAATTCCTGGGACGACCGAGTAGATTACCAACAGCCCATAAAACTGTCCATCATTTTATATCCATCTGACGTATTTTTGGGGTGGCAAATAGCTAGTTAACTAGTTGTATGGTTAATTTAAAAAAAAGTACTAATAATAACGTTAATAAATTCCGCAAGAATATGTTTAGACATAGAAAAAGGTTGTTAAAATATTAATGAAGTCACAAACATCTGAAAGATACATAAATTCAATATTTGGACAATGTGCTACAACGCCTAGCAAGTTTACTGGAAGGTTGCGTATAATGTGTGAATAATGCGAAAGTTAAGTCTGATGAGTGGAAATCAATGTTGAAAAACAGTTACGTTTTGCCCTTTTTTGTGAGTTTGTACAGAACAGTATGCGTCGTAGAAAAAGACTGACGATCAGATAAAGCGAGTAACACGGTGTGAGTGTGTGACAGCTCCTCCTCGTTTGGGATATATCGTACAGCTGTTTCGGAAGGAAGAGCCAATTGGACTGACCGGCCTCACTGATGCGTCCAGTATTAGAACAACAGGCTTTTCGCGGCTTTATCGATTACGTTCACATGCGTATTGGCGTGCAATGGGGTTCAGTTTGATGGTGTAAGCTGTACTTTGAGCTTGGCGATTCTACTCCACCGACGCCACAATCCCCGATTGGTTATTTACGTGACTAAATAGAGATTGTGACATGCACTCGTGATATATCTCGTGCGGCGACGTGTCTGTCTATCTATCGGCCTTCCAACCCGACATGCACTGATCCTGCCCTGTCTGTAGACGATCTATCATACAGTGTTGCAAATCCGGGCACAGTTGCAAACGCGACAATAGCACGCTATTCTTTTCCTCTTCCACACCGAATGATTCTCACATTCGTTTCCTGCCCCTACCCACAACTTCATAATTGCTCAACTGTTAATTCCGGTACACACCTAAGATCAACAGAGGATGACTTTCACGTAAACTTCGCGTGGACTTCTCTCTCTCGCTCACACGCAACTAAGTGGTCAACTATGATGAATGATGTCACGTCAGTTGGTGTCGTGAGTGACTGACCGAGACAACATATATACACACACAATGTGATGCGAAATCGTGTTTTGATTTCGGTCCGAGTTTTGACAGTGCGGTGCGAAAAAGTATACAACATCGAGTAATTGTGACAGACACGATTGGGATGCACCGATGTGAAGAAAACGGTATCAACCGCAAGCGAGCGTGAAGGAATCATCGAATAACTGCAACCTCTCTAGGACTGATCTAACAGGGATTTAGACCGTAACTTCCGCATACGGACATTCTCAGGTGCTCATATAAATCCAAATGGGTAACGACAATGGAAGAAGAATGCGAAAACAGAGATAGCTAAACAGTAGACAAGACTGTTGCTCACTGACGAAAGCCAACTGGACGAGCTCGTAGGCCGGGGTACTGCACTATGGAAAGCAATGACTCGATCCCATTAGCGTGTTGCATTTGCGCACCACTCTCTTGTGGGACAAACTTTTGAGTCAAAGACCCCGGTTCGGGCGGATAAAGAAAAATTCCTTCATCGGTGTCGGCCACCGCTAAGTATGTCGTGCCCTAAAGCATGAGTATGGGTGGATAAAAGAACCTTTTAACACGATTTCGCTGGTCGGTTTTCCAGTAAATTGTTGCACTTGGTCTTTGTCGGTACCAAGTTTTGTGTCTTCACTTGAATAGTCTGCAGCCTGCATTAAACAGGCACTAGAATCAGGGTACATGAAATCAAGTTAGCGGTCTTCCAAAAAATACGATATTTTATCGAAATTAGGGATGGCTTAGACTAAAACGCCAAACACCTTATTGGGACGCAAGGTTCACGAGTAGAACTCAAGTGTGTCTACCATATGATAGCCAATCAAACTCATTAACCCCGTCGATTACTGATAACGAGTACAATCAATCTACTTACCATGGAGTTAGCTTCCATTTCTAAGTTTCGTAATCTTTGTACGCTTGTGCACGTTCGTTCACAATAATTGATAAACCCCATGTGCTATATACGTGCCTGTTTGTTTTAAGTCAGCGATTGAGAAGACTAAACGAAATGTTAGCATCCCGCGACATTCTAAATGGATAAAGGGGGCTCAATGCTTCAGATGTCATAAGTGTCGAAAATCTAATGCACCTTGACCCGACCCAATCACAGCTATTTACCCTAGCATCAGATAACATGGACAGGGAAAAATTCCTATACAATGCGCAACAAACATGCCATTCGTCGTACAGCTAGGCACATGGTGGCTCATTATTTTCGAACAACTCACTTCTGTCACAGTATACGCTTCCTCCGCAGTACATTCGGATTTCGAGGTCGGATTGCTCAAGGCGAAAATGATTGGTCGATCGGAATTTTTCGCCATTTGTTCCAAGATTGGACGCGTGAACAGACCACGTTGACCGGAGGCACCTGAGATCGAAACATAAAAGCAAGTACGGGTGATAAGAACTGGTAAATTTGATCAAAAGAGCGTGCGTGTTGAGGAAGCCTGGAATGAATTCCATTGGCAGATGTTAAATTAGGGTACGGTTACTGTGAAATCCAGAGATAGGATATCAGATTACCTAGCTGGTAGAAGATTGTTCTATTTTAGGAATGTTCACAGATCCGAATTTTATATAGTGATGTGCTATGTTTTTACAAACCAAAAGTGAAGCAGCTCCCGGAAGCATTTGAGAGACTCATTCCATCAATGTAACATGGGGTGAGAAAGAGACTGAGCATTCTTCGTCTATATTTTGTTGTTATTGGACTGTCCTATTCACTTTCACGCACACCAGTTGCTACATTTGGTTTCTTGTGTTTGGATATGGATTCCGCTCTCTCGTTCATTCTCCACATGTTTCATATATTTTATTTGTCATAAAAGTTGAATGTAACAATAACATTGAAAATTAAAACGACCATTCGAATGCGCAGATCAGGGTTTTGGTTCCGAAGCCAAAGGATAGAATAGACAAAATTGGATACGTCTGGCGTTGCTTGATAGATTTGAAAAAAATCGGTGCTGTGGCTTAAAATCTAACAAATAAACCAAATGCGTCATGCTAAATCTACTCGATGGTTCCAAGAGGTGGATAATGACTTCATGCACACTTGATTTCCCGTTAAAAAGTGTTTCCAACAGATGCATGCACTAATGACTGGAGGCATGCGATGAGGACCATGACACGAGTAGACAAAACAGGTGCGTAGAGTGATACGTATGCGACTTCGAACAAAACTGTTTCCCAAATGGTTTTGTGTTGTCTCAGGGCAGTGTCTATGTGATTGGTTCACACACCGGATTGGATTAGGATTATTAGGAGTTATACCCAAGGAAATTCGGGAGGTACAGTCTATTTGATTGATTTAAATGGTTCGTCCGTTTCACACTAGTCTGGTTTTAGTGTGTCTAGCAAGCAAATCATGATTCGTTCGTGAATGCGAAACTGTCAGAATGCTCAAGCCACCACAGATGATTTTCTTTAGAAATCAAGAACTGGACTCTTAAGGGTAGCCAGAGATTGATCTGCAGTGTAACGGGGATGACAAGTTCAAGATAGACAAGCATAAGGTGACATCTCCACTGCTGTGGTGTGACGGTTTCTGCATCTATCCGTTCACGTTCAGAGATTTGTTTTCGATGATGTTATAGTTTTATAGCTTGTACTGGGCTGAAGCTAAATAGACGAACCTGCTAAATCACTATAAGAAATCAGGCGAGTGTAAGGCGACAAAGTGAAGTTGTAAGAAACTACGGAATATCAAATAGACAAACCAGATGGACGAAAACATCTGGAAGGCCTTTGGTAAAATATAACGAAATAATTGAGAAAATATTTCTATCGCAGTGTTCATCGAAAGGGTGCACTATACCAATGGAGCCAAGAAGTAGGATCAACAGCTGGACGAAACAACCTATTAAAGATGGATGAGAGTGATGATCACGAAGCTCGAGGTCGTCTAGTTCAAGTCACAGGGCTAGTGAATCTTTTTGGACGTGATTATGATTCTTTTTTATTCTCAATATGCTAAGAAGTGGTGACAAAACGTAACTGATTCAGATAGGATTCAGATAGACGATTTGAGACATGTATGTTGAGTGAACGAGTGTGCACACGAACGAGACAGATTCGTTTGGAAGAGAACAACTCTATCAATTGACCAACCGTGTGTTGTAAGGCCAGACAAAGATGCTTGGCTCTTCCAACTCTCAAATGCGGCTTTAACGAGGAGCCGTTTGACTACTTGTCACGCTTCGCGTGTCGTTTTCTCACGGTTAGACTAACTCCACTTTGTGCACAAAACAAGATTTACCAGAGCGAAAAGTAACAAGAACGAATCGGAACAGGTACACAGTTCCTCCTTTACATATCGATTTTTTATCCACCTTGTTTTGCGACAGAAGGTGCCCGTGAGGCGTGAGCCCGGGTGCGTACTAGCGTCAATTCAGTCTACAAGCAGCCTATGGAGAATGGAATCAAGCTAATTTATTCACACATAAGCCATGTTTAAAAAATATGCTTCCGAAATGACCGAAATGACCTTTGATCAACACCAAGAGAAACCTATAATTGACGTGCGCCAATCTCTTGTCGATCAGAAAATATTTCTGGGAACCCAATCTCTTCAAGCACAATGTGACCTACTGTGATAAGTTCAGTTCAGTTCTTACAACCATTAACCATGTACTTTCGTGTGCCGGTTTGGGTTGCCCTCTTGGCTAAAACAGCAGAATGGTGGTTAGAATGTTGAGAGCAGATCCAAGCGGAAGATAACGTATTTACATGAACTGTGAAAAGGAAACGTCCCGAACATAAACCGGATTAGAACACGAATTTTTAGTAATAACTTGTTTCCCCAAACAATAAGCCATCGGCCCATCACATTATTTTGAATCCGTGGAAAAATGATTCTTTGGACGGTAACCGTAACAATTTAATTTCACACTCGTCCCGGGGCAACTTTCGCATGGCATGTAACCTGCGTGATTTTCCTCCGTTTATCTCTTCGGGGCATTGCACACCGTGATTGCTCAATCAATATTTATTTTTGTTTCAGAAGTTCAGGGAAACGACTGGGAATAATATGATGAACGACAGAGCAGATTTGTTCTGTTCCAAAAGAACGCCCACTATCTACTTTCAAGTGCGCACACCAATCTACAGGATGTTTCATTTCTCCCAAATGCTTGACAGGACACGAAATTATTCCCCAATTATGTTCTTTTCAAAGGCACCCATAAATCTGAGAACACAAGTTCACAGTCGACCAAAGACCATGGAGTGGAAAGCGTCCATCTACCCATAGCATGATGTCACGCGACCGAAAGATAGAACGACCCTGGATTTGCTTTTGGAATTCCAGTCACGAATTGTTTGATCTAGGGATGAAGCGCACACAAGTGTTGGGTAACCACCGAATAGATTGTCACGTAGAGGGAATATGATTTCATGGCACATGGGAAAACCGAATGAAGCCAGAAATTGGCAAATCGGTAAGGATCACAGAGATTGAGAGAATCTGGTGAATAAAGGTTATCGCCTATCAGGAGTAGCACATTTTATTGTTCACAGCATCACGCGCTGTTGGTGGTCACGATCTTCCATCACTTATAAAAGCATTCAACTAGTGGGGAATTAACGATCTCCCAAGGAATGGAACCCACACCGAAGATCATCAACAGTGCCCGTCAACAATCGAAAGGATTATACCAAATTTCCTACTCTAAATTATTTAGAACGATTCGCACAAGGTGATGACCGCCGGCCAAGTAGTTCAGGGGTAAGGCTATGAAGCTCCAGCCCGAATGTTCGCGGTTCGAGTCCTGACAAGGACACAAAAAGTATGCACTAATGATGATTCTGAATAGGACAAAACAGCTGGCCGCTGCTCCCTTTCGGTTATCACAAATCTTTCCATCGGTTACTGCCTATCACTTACTGTTATCGTCAAAGGTTAACAGAGTAGGAATGAAACACTGATGACAAGGGACGACATTTTACTGTACTGCATGCATGTAACGCAACTTCTCAAGCACAACAACGGACAAGCAAACGAGTGACCGCCAGTGAAAAGTAACAGGCGTACAGGTATTGGTCAAACTCGCGGAATTTCATCACATTTGTTCCTCCCAGCACATCGTGTTTTAGGCCTCATTCATGGGATCGAACATGATATTGCCCCATATCAGACGCAACATAGCCGTAATATGAGGGTGATAAAAGTCGGATTAAATGCTCCTCACCCGTGACCATCGATATACATGTATGATATTGGAAACTGAAATGCATCACCAAAACGAGAAACATGTTGCACGAGTTTGATCAATACCTGTATATGGATCGGTTCAGCGTGGATAAAAAATGTCCTAGAAGGGAAATTCGTTGTGACATGCGAACACCAACACCTGACTGTCTGATATAAACACGAATGACCGACTGTCACAAAAGAGCACAGGTTGATTGAGAATCAAAGCAAGAGGAAGCTGCGCGGTAGATACTGATAATGGTAACTCATTTGATTGAACAAAGCTTGTTTTAATCAGTTGAATAGTGACCCCGAACCCGATGACAACCATCACCATCATAACAACAATAACGATCGTCATCGTGCGTCGGTTTCCAACACCAACTTGATTACTTCGTATCCCGCTTGAGCCGAATCGTGACCAAACATCGTGAGATTTATCTTCGAGTTCACGTTGCACCTGGTGATGACGATAGTAATGCCAAGAAGAGATAAGAAAGTTTCAACAAAATTTCCAAATGACGAGATCACAAGGACACACCAATGACACATACCGATGATAGCGGTGGGTTTGTGAACCTTGACAATCTGGAGCAAATCTCGCATCGGTTGACATTTGTGAGCAAATTTTCGATTATGATCGGTCAAATTACCCTCGGAACGATTCTGGATTAAGACAAAATCAATGGTAACCAGGAACAGTGTGGGAAAATATAACTGGATATCACATCGTTCTGGCGAAAACAATAATAATAATAAAAACAATCACCAAATAGACAATTGTACGATCACACCTCAGGAAGTGGTCAATCATCGTGCTGTCGTTATAGGATATAATGAATTCAGATGAATAATTATCACACTCCCTTTCCCTCCCGAGGACAGAGAGGCTGACTCCAATGATTGAACTGCGCAGGGATAAACGATAAAAAAAAACAATTTGGGATGAACGAAACTCCGAAAACACACTTGTGTTTGGTGTTCACTGCACAATTAGAATCGATCACGGCAGAAACAACTGCATTTTGGAAGCATGAAACAAACGGACAATGTTGGAATTGACCAGACAGACAGGGTGTACCAGATGGTGATCCAACATGAGCGTATCAATACCCAAAACAAAGGGAATTGGTCAAATAGGCATTAGACTTTGTGGATGGGGACCTTGTGACAAACCTAATTAATAGTTAGAGACACTGAGCAATGTGACTCAGTGATGCAAGCCCATTTTGTCTAACTCTCCTTGCACGGTAGTCTAAGTTACCGGCATTATGTATCTGCATCTTTCTCTTGCTCCTAGTAGTGTACTTTGTTCGCTTCCTCTCACCACATTCATCAACCGAATGGGTGGGTAGCGGAGCGACGGCAACGAAACTAAATTATTCGCACATGTGATGTTCAAATCAATTTACGAGGTTCTTGGTACAAGGAGAATGCTGAGCTTGTCTAAAATTACAATTATTCCACTTCAAATTATATACTTGGTGTTTTGTACTTTCGATTAATATGACATGTGAAAACAGAAATAGAATCGAAATATGCGTAGATTTTGTCAATGAAATGCATCAATCGAATCGAGATTGAATCAGTTGTCAATGTGGGGTACCCGGATGTTTGTTGTATCACAATTTTATCAACAATGACTAAATCACGGTCCTAATACCATGTGTTATCGCAGATTGGTCCACACGGTCCCACACGGAGGTGAACCGCGCAGTAGAAAAAAATCGATCGGAAATTTCGGCCAAGTTACTTTCACAACATTGTTAGCTGTGTATTTTATTGGTCTACAGATCCAGTTGCTTCTTTTTAACACCTAATCGGCGATTCAGTGAATAGGGTATCAGAGTAGCCCCCCACCCCTCACGCTCGAATTCAAATCATCACAAATTCGATTAATACGCGCTGCTGCTGAGTTTTTAAGAGACATAGCAACGGAGCACGAATTGTTGATTGGTTTAGCGTATTTTGCATTTAGATATAAACAACAGTTCATGTCAGAAGTGATACAAATATCATTGACCATTGACTGATCCCTCTCTCTCTCTCTTATCAACTCATTAATCAATATCCACTCTGGCGAGTATTTAACAATGAAGAAGCACATTAAGGGTACATACACAACGTGGCTCAGGCCAAGCAGACTATAAAGATCAATATTTGTGCTTGACCTTGACTATCCAAACCTAAGCCTATTCAAATTTAGAATCTGGTCAAAATCATAAATAGATGTTTAGAGAATGATCTCTGCACTACAACTGCTCTGTTACTCTCTCTCTCTGCTTCCAGGACGAACCTAACAACCACGGTGATAGAAAAAACGGAAGTTGTATCAAAGAGACGAGCAACTCGTATTTGCAGTAGCCAGTCAGTGTCCAAGCATGTGATTTACCGCACACGGTTAGGATGAAGCGGACCAGGTTGAATGTCAGTAGGTTGGCCTGAGCCCGGACAGAACTGATCAATCGGGATGTGTTTTTCATTTCAGTGTCCTTGTGTTCGGTCTATTCACATTCGGACCCGTGGGGCCTCTTAATTCTGCCGTTATTTTGCAGTCAGTAGTGTGCAACACGAATCGGACAGCAGAACGAGATTGGAAGTCACAAATGCGTCGGTTTCAATACTTGTGAAAGATGAGCATTACGACCAATATCACCATCACTTGGAGTTCTGACAATTTTATCTTCCTCGGAAAATGTATGTGGAGATGGGGGTAAGAGAGGGGAAATTCAGCAGCTGAAATGTGAACAAAACAGTCAACAGATGCATGTGTATAGGGACGAATGCACTGCAAGTAAATACTCACCTCAACAAGCAGCCCATCTTTATCAAACATGAATATACGTTTTCGAGCTTCCTCCTTAGATCCGCATTCCAATGCCAATGAGTTCATCAACAATTCGGCGATTCCCGTTGCGGCCTATGTGCAACCATGACATAGAAGGAGATTGAGCTTAATTAGTTATAAAAGGATAAAACTGGACGGTTGTGTACAACTATGCCAGCTTAGAACCAGTCCAATAACAGAGAATAAAACAAACTGATCACGAGGGTAAGATTAACGAAAATAAAAAACCTGATGCGATTAAATTGAATAATGAACTTGTATTATTACACAATTTAGCGTGATGAAAAGCAGACGGGGTAAACCCCATAGTCACGAGGACCTGCTGTTCAGTGATGGAAACCGGTAGCCTAATCCCCGGGACTTGGAGTGGCGAACCACATAAGGCCCCAATAGGTTAGGTATGGTATTGAAACGGACGACAGCAAAGCTGAGGCATTCCATCACGATACAGAACAACTAGATTTTATCTTCGATTGCTCCGAAAGGTCGTTTGTTCTTGCCAATCAGCATCAACCGATTGAGCCATCTTACACAGATCAATCTGAGTGAGGCAACTTCGCCGATAACTTTATGAGCGTTGTTTCGGTCTTGAATCTGAAGTAAATCTAGTTTACCACATTTTGCTATGTGAATACAGGGTAATAGCCTAATTTGTTGATGATGTGGATCACACGAAAGACAAAGTTTTTTCAAGAACGAACAACAAGTGAATCTGACAAACCGTGAAATTTTATTTTGATGGTAAATCAATATAACAAACGAAGATTCGATCAGTCCGTGTTTTGCTTTTTGATTGTCCCTTCAACAGTGGGAGTATTGAATAATGTGCATTGGTGATTAGAAGACCAATGACATTTTTATAAAATTTCTTCGTTCTAGCATTACTCTGGATGACCGATCATTCAAATTCCGTTCTCCGACGCTGGTATCCCATTAACCTCACCGACTCACAGTGGCACGTCCCAATTGAGATTACGCATATGAAAAAGTCTTCAGGACAGACGGCGAAGTTTGCTTCACCGTATTTCGCAGCATCATGATAATCAGGATTGGCCAAGTTGAAGGGATTTTGATTGGTGTGATATTGGGAAACAAAACAACTGATGCGATTGTTGAGTCCGCCGTTTGCATGAATGATCAAACCTTAGGTCAAAATTATTGTTTCCAAAAGAGATTGCATTTCTAGAAGCAGCAGATATTCGCCTAATTGGAGCACAAACGATTGTGATTTAACATCCAAATTATTTGGTCTGATTTCACACGCTTTGCACTCCATCTCTTAGACCATAGGCTGGGAGAAGTAAGGCACGCTCGGCAAAAGATACACGATACTCTGTCAACAGATAATAGCGGGAACGGTGCACGCCAAACTACATCTTTTCCCATCAAGCTTTAATCAAAACCTGCAATGCTTTAGCCAAGATCCATAGTATTTTAGCCTCGACGCACAAACTTCAGTCACACCGCAGTGAACAAGTCAGATCAAAAAGTATCGGAATATTCTGAAGTCAACGGATGTTGCAAAAAATTCTTTTCTACAAACGTTGCTGTTGCAAAGCTTAGCCAAGAAATAAGAAAGCATGGGGTTTGCACGCTGCAACACATGTTGACTGGAGAAGGTTGAACCGATGTGCCCGTATCGTCAGACCATTTGACACATCTCGTACAGCTTCAGTTTTTCTGTATGACATGGGATAATCTTGGGAGTACAAATCTCAAGTGTAGCTCAAACGATACATTGTTTTGCATTAACAAGTGAACTCTGTTCACCAGAAGGGGATATAAAACCTGCCGAGGATAACAAACCGTTCGTAAAAGTACATAGCTATCATAGCTATCATCAGTTTACTAACACTGCAACGTATGTCACAATTACCTCGGTCAAGACTCAATTATTACGGGTTTTGACTATAGCTTCTTTGGACACGGTATTCTAAAGGGAGCCTTTTGAGAGCAGTGTTTATTATCCTTGGTCTATCAATTTATCCACATCTAAAGAACAAAGTTCACTTCAAGTGAATATACGAATTGGTAAGCATATACCTTTTGGTTTATTTCAGAGCTTGTTAATGCAAAACAATGTATCGTTTGAGTTACACTTGAGATTTGTACTCC